AGTGCTTCTGACACAGCCTGGCTTGTTTGCCCAGTTTCCTTTTTGGCTCCTTTTACAAATTGACCCATATGCTTCACTTTGTGTATTTTTAATTTTCATTTGCAAAATAGCTGCACCTGGGGCTCATTTGGTAAATTAATATTAGTGTTTCAATAAGGCTGCTATCAGTCCTTATTTTACACTAAATCTTTCCTACAAGTTTTTCTTTCTCCCTCCTCCTCTGTATGACTAATAGATATAATTTCAACAGTTTGACTAACTGCCGTGTTATAGAAAAGGCAGTAATTTATACTGATGTAATGGCTGTGATAAAAATCATTTGTGTGCTGATTTTATAAATTAGCTAGGAAATGTGAGTGCCTCTGAAAAATGAAGTGCTACCACATGAATTCCAGTGTTGTTAATGCTTCATACCTTTCTGCTTCATTAAACCAATTTCACGGGGAGATGAGTTAGAGGAGGAAGCTGTGCTGCTTAAGAGAGGCAACAATGGTTTATTGAAAGAAGTGGGGATAAGATTAAATTAAGTGCTACTTGAGAAATATGGAAATACAAAAATATTCAAGCTTAGAGATGGCGAATTCAAAAATATGATAAGTTAGCTCTTTCATACCCAAAGAACTGTCTCATCATAATTGCATAGGCTGAATTCACAGGCTACTAATTAATATTGAAGAGTTTCTTCAACCACTCTTATAAATGAATCAGAGTGCCCTAGAACTAATTTATAACTATTTCCTTTTGGAAATCAAGACAACTTAAAATGCTGCATTCTGTGCATTCCTATCTTAGCTGCTAAATACTTTGAAATTATTTCTGCAGTATATTTTATATTTATTTATTATTTTACATATTCCATTTATCAGCTGAATTTAAAGGCAAGACTGAAAAAAAAGTGTAAGATTAAGAAGCCTTCAGGTCTGGTAAGACTCTTCTAATTTAGGATAATGATCTGGAGCAGCCTAAAATAACTTTTCTGACCACTTTTTGATCTGAATTCAGCTGCATTGAAACCAATGCATTTCAGTTAGATTTAGATCAGTTTTTTTTTTTTTCTGATTGAAGCTGTGGAACATGTAACTTTAAAAAGAATATGTGACTTAAGAAAGAATATGTTTATGTCCACAGAACACCTTGGATATCAGGTATGATCTACATCTAAGAGGCTAATTGATTTTTTACCACTTCCATAAAATAGCTGCAGCTATTTTTCCCCCCCTCCCTTGAGGAGGAGAGGTTTTCATTCTCAAACCACTAAACCCTATTTGTCCTGTCGATGGTGGAACATGTAAATACAAAGGGAGTCATTCATTAAATAAGAGGCTTATGCATACACAAGTTTTAAAAAATGCATAGTTTCAAAGCCCAACTGCGAGGCTGCCATTTTCCCCCAGCTCACAATGAGAACCCTGTGTACAAGTGACCCAAGTGCTGGGATTTGGGCCAGCTCTCAGATTAGCACAGAAAACACGTCCAGGCTCCATCCCCTCCTCCCCCCGATGCTGCTGGGGGCTCAAGCTGTGCCCATGGGGGATCTCAGGGGCAGCAGCTCTGCCCTGATTTCCCTCTGCCCCTGTCCTGGGGGTGCAGCCCCTCACCCAGCACTGCTGCCCACCTCATCTGCTTTGAAATAACTTGTCATAGCTGAGACAGAGAAAATACAAAGCAACACACTCCATTTTCAGAAGGCTTCAAACTGTTTTTATGATAGCATGGATGCTTTTTATACATTCTTACAAAACTCATCAGTTTACACTTTACTCATTGGTCACGAGAGACAAAGTGTTTATTGGAATAGGCAGTTGCAGGTTTCTCTTATGTATCCTTCCTTCTTTTTTGGTTTCTATGTCAACTGTTGGAGCTCTGGATGCTGAGAATTTTAGACTTTTCTATACAGACAGGCTCTGACTCCCAGGAGAGCACTGCATTTGACCTGAGGCCGTGGAAAAGGCTTCCATGATTGATTGATAACACCAAGATTACGAGTGTGTAATTAGAAGTGTGTAATTTCACAAAGTAGAAAACTTAGAGTTTGGGGTTTTAGCATATAGTAACAGATATGAAACAAGGCAGAAGTTTTAGAGTGGAGGCAAGTTATTCTTCTTTACTTTCCTCTTCCTTCTTCTTCATGACTTTGGTAGAAAATTCTTTCAAGGGTAAACATGGATCCTCTTATTGAAGTTCTCTCTGGCTCACAGCAGTCACTGTAAAACCTCTTCCCCAGTAACTCACCCCACAAAAGGGGACAATGTGCCAGGGAGCTCTGAGGCTGCATCCTGCCAAGTGCTCTCCATTCCCCAGGGAAGGAAGCAGCACTGAGGATGCTCAGCCCTTCCCTGGGGCAGCTCTGGGGTACCCAGCACAGCTCATGGCAGTCCTGCCAAGGATCTGCCCAACAAAGTGCTGGGCACCATCCACTGCTGCTGCTGCTGGATGGCTCCAGTGGGATCTGGAGCCAGGCCTGGCCTGTGAGGTGTAATTAACCATTCAGCTCATCTGCACACACAGTGCATAGCACTCATGGCACCCTCTTACTTCTTTTCCTCTCTTTCTTCAAAAGCTGTTGAAGGAAGGAAGGAAAGAGGGGATAGGATAGCAATAAAAATGGATTTCCTGCTGGTACAACAATTCTGAGAGTCCAAAGCCTTTGTCACTGCACATACCAAAAGTTACAGTCTTGAAATTTGGAATTACGAGATTTTCTAAAAATACATATTTGCTTTTACCTTATAGAAATGGCATGTTTTGACAATTTTTTCAGAAAAACAAAAGGAACCTGTACATCCCCATTAATATTTTTAGGATAGGCATCAATTTCCAAGAAAAATTGTGCTTTGAAGCAGCCATAATTGCACAGGACCCATATGACTTGTCTTTGAATTACTCATTCTGTGAGGTTCTCCCTCCTAACTGTACCAGAATAATGTTTTTCATTATTCTGTAGAGATATCAGGACATTTTCTCTGCAATTTGGGGAATTTTCAGAGGTCTGAGTATGACATTCCTTTCTCTGAGTAAGTTTGCCCCTGCCAATTTGCATTTAATCCTTCCTTAGCCCTGCTTGGATGCTCAGGATGAAGCTGAGGCTGCTGCTGGATGTGGGGAATTCCTGCCTGCTGCCACTGGTGTGCCACTGGTGGTGCTTGTTGCCACCCAGGCTGGCAGAGATCAGGTCTTGCTGCCCCTGGGCTCCTCTGAGCATTCCTGGGAGCCTGTCACAAGTCTGAGTTTATTTTTACAAATTCAGTTTCTTTCTCTCTTTGATCATGTATTTGATTTTATCCTTCTTTCTCTTTTGAATATTTTTTCCTAAGTTTGTTTTCTTTTTTTGGTCTCTTATTTGTTCCTTACTCTTTCCCTTCCTCTTTACTTTTCATCTCTATACTCTGCCTTTTATCCTGCACCAAGTGAATGCAGCTTGTTTTGAGTCCAGGAATAGAAATGCTTGCCACTTTCCCTTTGCTCTGTTCCAGGCATGTATAAAGCAGCAGATAAATGTTGACAGCATTTTGTCTTTGTACAAGTTGGGCTTACTGCAGGCATTGAGTGCAAATTGCAGAATAAATTCACGTGCTGAATGCTGGAGAAGAATTACTTCAAAGATCTAATAATGGGGAACTGAAGCTGCCCACAGTTGCTAAAGCATTTAGCTTGGTGAGACACTTATAAAAGGTAAACATAAGCACAGAAAAGAACTCTGTAGTTTGCCTGTAGAGATTCTTGAACTCCATTCTTTTTTGTATCAATGTGCATTTTGAATCAGTTCATTAGAAGAGAATGAAAGATAGAGTTTGGTTTACAGTGGCCACAAGATTTTGGCACATCATGAGATATCTCACTCATTTAAACACTGACTTGTACAAGAAAGGCTCTCTTCCTAACGTTTTTTCTACCCCCAATTATATTATTACCCTGGTTGGTTTTAATATGGAGGTTTTCTAGCCTGCAATCTCAGTATGGAAGAATTGCATGCTTGCTTTTATTAAAAACTGCCTGTGCATCTTGGGACCAGCTTTGCTGTTTAAATTAGAAATGTTTTGTGTTGTTTCTATATTTTAGATAATCTGAATTAATTTTAGAGGTTTCAAGGTAATGGGTGGCTATGTCCAGAAGCAGAGCTTTGTAACAACAGTGTGAAATTCCCAGGATTGAAACTCCTGACTGGCACAGTTTGGGTCAGTTTGCCGCAGGTCTTGCTGCTGCCGCTTCCAAATTCCCTTCTTATTGAAACCATGGCCTGGCAGGAGAAGGGGCTGAAATATTCTTTATCTTGTCCTGAATTAGTTCTTCTCTGTCCTTCCCAGCTGCTCTCAGCTCTACCAAGTGAATAGTGCAAAGGTGTGAGATTTAAATTCTCCTCTCTTACTCCCCACAGTCACATCGATGATTTCCTACCCTCAAAACTGCTGGTGCCAACAGCAGGGATTGATTTGTTTTGCACAGTGGAAATGGCAGGGCTTGGTATGCTCAGCCCATGGAAAATCTGGACACAATGAAATGCTTTACTGGCTCATCTCTAGGTGAGTCTCATGCAGATCTCTTGCAGGGTTATGAAACCAAACTCCAGAGTGCAAAACAAAAGTCTGAATAGTTCCCTGGCCCTGCTCATCAGCTGGTAAAAAATCATCAGCTCATTGAGGCTGAATGCCTCATGCTGTACATGGCACTTTCTGGAATGTTTTATTCACTCACTGAGCATTTTGAGCTGTGGAAGTGACTCATGAGCACAAATCCCAGTACATTTAGCCTTTTTCACTTTAGGATGTGTGTTTCCAGCATCAAACATCAGTTGGATTTTCCTGTCAGAATAGCAACCTCTAAATGTGTAGATTTTGGTGCCAGCATCAGAACAGACTGGTAGAAAATCCTCTGTCTGATATCAGAAAGGGGCAAATACCTTTATTTTCTATCCCCCACTGAGATGCAAGTTCAGACTTTGGAAAACAGCATTTAAACTTTTACATTTTGTTTGATTTCACAGCCAAGACACCAGGCAGAAACTTTGGGGGTTTTTAGTGCTGCTTTTCCCCTTTAATGAAGTTGAACAAAGCTTGTTCATCTCCAACTTCAATTTGTCACTCACAACCGCTGTACCTACCAGGCTGATGATGCTACTGGTAAAGTAGATACAAAATTTACTCATCAAAGTTTTTTACTCATTAAAGTCTAAGCGTCAATCATTTTTAAACAGCAGTGACAATCCTTGGTTAGCAGAAATGTCAAAGAGTGGGTGGAACATTCATAACAAGGAGCTCTCGTGATAGCTGGAATAGAATGGGAAGGAAAACAAGATCACAGAAGGGATCAATGATCAATAGCATCTGTAGGCAGAAAGAGGCTTCCCATTAACTCCCCCAGCCATGGCCTGGGGTTTTCATACTGTCCTATCTGCTGGCATCAGTGTTTCTTTTCTGTTATCGACCTGCAGGACGGCACCTGCGAGGAAATCAAAAGTGCTGTTGGCAATGAAGTGCACTTCTCCAGAAATGTGAGAGGAGGAGTTAAACTGAGAGCTCAGCAGTGCAGGAGGAAGAGGTGAGTGAGCAGAACTGACAAACAGACCAAATCTGCACCACAGGAAACCTCTGTTCAGGGTTTTTTTTGCAGGAGGTTGCTGCTCTTTGGCTGTAGAAGTGACACATTTGCCTTTTTCTGAAGATGTCAGTCTTATTTCCCCTAGATGTGCCATAGTAAAAAAACCCCAAAAACATGACATGCAGCAATGATGACTTGCCCTGCCTGTTTCCTTTCTGCTAGGAGAAATGCTGCACTTGAAAGTCTTGTGGTTGATGACTTAGCAGAGTTTGGCATCTTCTGGCACAGCCAAATATGTTCTAACACCAGGAAAACATTTCACAGAACAATGGGCCTTCAACCCTCTGTTGGAACATTAAAACAAAGTATTATAAGCTAATTTTAATATCCAGCCTCTCTGTCTGTTGTGGAACTGTGAATCCCCTTCCCTCCTTAAGAATTTCTAAACCAAGTTGTGGCCGATGTAGCCTATTTTATTTACCCGCATAAATGGAAATAGTGCCAAAATAGGCCATCAGGAAGGTGCTGCTATAATTAGTGCTCTTGCAGAGAGAGAGAGAAAAGAATTCTGAGGTTTCTTCTTCCTTCTATGGATAAGAAATATAATAATATATTGCCTGATGATAGCATGATTCCAATGCAAATGGCAGGGGCTGGTGGCTTATTTAACAGGCCTGGCCTGTAGCAAGCCTCCCTTCCCCGCTTCAGTTCAAAATTGATTATTTTAATACAGAATTCCTGAATGAAAGAGGTTCTTGGCCTTTTCCTGGGCTGTTGAATAATGTATGTGGGAGAAAGCAAATAGAAGCAGAGGGTCTCAGCTGCTGGAACAATGGGCTGAGCACAGAGCTGAGGGGGCACATTAGTTTATCATTGCCTTGTCAATCCTCATAGGCTGGGAATCGTGGGATAGCCTGGAAAGAAGCAGCTGCTGAACGTGTGGTAAACTGACCGGGGCACTTTGGAGAGACGACTGCATTTACACATCTGAAAACAAGATATTGATTTTCCCCACAAAGCTGGGCAGGAATAGCCATCCTGGAAAAAATATATCTGGATCGTGGCTCGTTTGCAAAACCCCAGTGCTTTCCTGGCTGTGCCCAGGGCTGGGAGCTTCCTTGTGATGGGGCTTGCAAATCTAAAAATAGTCTCTGCATAAACTTTGCTTTTCCTCCTCGTTGATTGACTGCCCTCCTAATCCTTTTAGTGATTCAGTACAAGTAAAATGTAAATGCAAGCGAGCTTTGTGAATGTTCACAAAAATATTTTCCCTCGATTAGTAGATTTCTCTTTTTTTTTTTTTTTTAAGTTATATATTCCCTTTTGTGGAAATATTTGACCGATCTTGAAGATATATTTGCGTGATATCCCTGATATCACAGCTCTGCCCTTTCTGATGGAAGTGGGATTCACTTCTGAACACCAGTTTTGGTGTAGGACACATCCTCAGGCAGAAGGGTTTCTTTCAGAAGTGACACAAATAAGAAAGTGAAGCAATGCTTGACACGGGCAGAGTGGGATGATTAATTGTTTTAAACAAGGAAAGGTTTAAGGCAGAGATGAGCACACATTTCCTAGTGATTAATATTCAGTAAGATACTGATGTCTTGCTCTAGGCCCAGTTATCAGGATGCTTTTATGTGGCTTTATTGCCACATGTTAATGATTACTATTTTAGCTATCAGAAATCCTATTTATGACTCAGGATTTTCTCTGCTGGGTGCATAAAAGAACATGTTCACAATGTGAATCACAATAGGTGAAGAAGTTTCAATTGAAAAAAAAGTGGCCTGTCAGAGGGGACATATTTTTTGTCTGTATAGGTCTAATTGTGGATCCAGATTCACCACAGGAGTAATGAGCTGGTTTGTCCTTATCTCTGCAGCTTGACTGACACAGCAAACATGAAAAAACTCTGGGTTTTATGAATTAACTCTGCTCTTACGATTTTGTCTGTCAAAAAGAAGCTGCCTCAGCACTTAGCTGGTGTAAACTTTGCATTTTAGCATCCACAGTATGTGTGGTAAAATAAAAGATTATTTTGATACTGGATATCATCATCCACAGTCAAAAGGGCTCCCAAAGGCAGGACAAAATGAAGGCATGAACTTGTGCAGGGAATTTCCAGATTGTTACAAGGTTTTCCATCTCCACAAATACAGGAAATCAGATTCTCATTTCCTTCCAGTCTGATATTGTGATGAGAGCAACAGAAGAACTAGAACAGGATAAAAAGATTTTTCTGCACCTTTCTAAAGTCAAGGAATGTTTAACATCTTTAGTGTGGTTGGATTCCTCTATCAGTGAGCTGTATCACAAGGTATTACAAAATACAATCACTTTAAATCAGGGTTCTAAGTCTGCATCTGATAGATGAATAAATGCTCAGTTTTTTCTGGTGTTCAGAGGAGCCAGATCCTCCTGCTTATTTTTATGAGAATTCAGTGATTTTAAAAACAGCTTCATTCGTTCATATCTGGGCTCAGCACTCTGGGTACAGGCAAGTATTGTCTTAATTAATTATTTCTAAATAGGGGATCAAGGCAGATTTTGCTCTCAGATGTGATCAAGGTTAACCTACTAGGAATTCACAGATTGTGCTGTGTGATTTCCTGACATCTCTGGGCTCTGGTTTGAGCTGGGCCCTGTGAATACTCTCCTCAGGAAAAACCACATCCAGAAAATGTGAGGGGAGACCCATTCTGTGATGGGAAACTCCTGACTAAGCAGCAATGAGAAAATGCTGAATGACATCAGCCAAAGAACAAATTTATCACTTACTGGAACTTCACATTATATTTGCTTCAGAGTTCTTCTTTTGAACAATAACAAGCTCAAAGTGCCCAATCTTTCATCCATTTCCCCATGACTTTAATTTTGCACTGGGTGAGCCAGAAAGGATCCTCTTAAACTGTGAAATAGAGGAAGGGTTGTTTCTCCTGTACATTAATATAATCCTACAGAACTTGAATTAATTGCATGGGAAGAAAGTAGTAACAGAACAAGTGAAGTCTTGATCAAAAAGGTGCTGTTTCAGTGTCTTTCCTTGGTGAAATAAAGGCCAATAATTTATAAGCCAAGAAAGCATTGGGGGAGTTTTATTGAGCACTTTTAAAACCAGCCACAGACTGTAGATTCATTAAAATCCATTAAAATTCATGACTTATAGAGTGATGTGCCTGTCAGCTCAGCTCAGTTTCCATTCTGGTGACACAATCGTGCCACTTGTCCATGGGATAATCTTCTCAGCAACATGTCCCAGGTTGTATACATTTGAATTCCTTAAATTCAAAGCAAGAACTACCCCAGAAGTGAATATAATGAGGGAATATACAAATATAGGCAAGTGTGGTTGTAGATCCCCAACCAACCTAAAAAATCCCAGTGAAAATGGTGAGCTACAACACCCTCAAATAAAAAATTCGTGCAGAATTCCTTGTAGCTGCCACCTTACCCTTCTCCCAGCTGGACAAAGACTTGGTTCCTCTCCTGCCCTTCCTCACTGAGCATGCCAAAACAGAATCACAGAATCACAGAATGACAGAATTACAGAATAATGAGGTTGGAAGAGACCTCTAAGATCATCAAGTCCAACCTATGCCCTAACACCACAACTAAACTATAGCACCAAGTGCCATGTCCAGTCTTTTTTTAAACACATCCAGAGATGGTGATTCCACCACCTCCCTAGGAAGACAATTCCAGTATTTTATTATTCTTTCAGTGAAAATTTTTTTCCTAATATCCAACCTAAACCTTCCCTGACATAGCTGAGGCTGTGTGCTCTTGTTCTGCCAGTTGCTGCCCGGTGGAAGAGACCAACCCCACCTGTCTGCAGCCTCCCTTCAGGAGCTGTAGAGAGCAATAAGGTCACCTCTGAGCCTCCTCTTCTCCAGGCTAAACAACCCCAACTCCTTCAAACATTCCTCACAGGGTTTGTGTTCCAAGCCCCTCTCCAGCCTTGTTGCCTCCTCTGGACGCTCTCAAGTGTCTCAAGGTCCTTCCTGAACTGAGGGGCCCAGAACTGGACACAGCACTCAAGATGTGATCTCACCAGTGCCGAGTATGGGGAAGAATGACCTCCCTGCTCCTGCTGGTCACACAATTCCTAATGCAGGCCAGGAGCCATTGGCCTTCTTGGCCACCTGGGCACACTGCTGGCTCATATCCAACTGGCTGTAGACCAGCACCCCCAGTCCCTTTCTGCCTGAAAATATTTTTTTCACATCTTAGCAAAAAAAGGATTTATTGTGACTAAACAAAATGTACAATGTTTCCCAAACGACAGAGTGTTTTCAAGACCCTCTGAAGTCTGCTGTTCTGGCTGTCCTGCCCCACTGCTGCCACTCAATCTCCTTTCCCCTCTTCCCACTGCACCTCAGGGAATTTGGTGCCTCATTTTCCCCCAGACTGGATTGCAAAGCTCCTGCAGCATCCCTGTGGCTGTTCCCATCCCACCCCAGCACCTTTCCCTGTGACCAGGAATGTCCTTTCCTTGTTTTGGGTCACATTTCCCCTCTCCCAGTTTGCAAAGCATTCTGCAAAGTTAAACATCAATCTGCCCTCAGCTCCCAGCCCCAGAGAGGTGCCACCCTGCTCTGATCCTGCCTGGGCAACAAGGCCTCTATTACAAGAAGAATAGCAATATTAAAGTAATTTTCTCAAAACATTTTCTTCTGTGCGTGCGTGGTGTGGGGGAGAAGCAAGAAGGAATACCTGCATTTTCTTCCAGAGTAAATGCTTTTCAAATTACTCATTCTGCACAGCAGCTAAATGCCTTTCATATTCCCTCAAAATTTCCTGCTAAAAGAGAGGCTGATAGGTATTCTCCCATTTCAAAAGAAAGTTTTAATACAGAATAATTAGTCTTGCCCTGTTTCCACTGATGTTACAAAAAACATTAAGCTATTTTCCCAAACCAAGGATGCTTTATAGAATAAGCTTTTAGAAAATATAACGTGTTTTGTTTCAGAGGACAGAAATGAGATTAATCAGAGCTATCTCTGTAGTGTTAAAAGTAGTTAAATTTAACTTTAAACAGTGAGGGGGTACAGAAAGACTTTTAATATGCTCGTTCCTTCTTGCCCACAGTGTTTTGCACTGGCTACAGTCTTTAACATAATTTTTTAAAATACAACTGGCACAAAGTATCCTGTCTTTGAAACTGTTGGTGCAAGTGCAGGGAGTGAAACATTTGATTGAGAATTTGAATTGAGTATCTTTTTCATTTAGTAAAAAGTTTGTGTCATATGTTTTGCTTCTATGCCCTTCCTGCTGTGTTAAGCTGGAGGGAGAGGAAACCTGGCATCTTCTCCTCCTCCTCTGTGGGAACTCAAAATGTCCCTCAGACATTTTTGGAGGTTCCAGGCCCAGGTCAGAAGCATTTGAGACCCTGGCAGGCAGCTGGAAACAGCTGTGATTTTGGGTTTGAGCCATGGAATGAGTTACCAACCTTGCAGGAAGAACAAAAGTCGCAAAAGTTTAGATATTATAGTAGAAGTAGTTACAAAGTAGAGGGAAGAAATTTTTAGTGCTGTACAGGGGGGTTTTAAGTCCTATACAGGGGGGCTTTAGTTTTGTACATGGGGGTCAGAGGTTTTAAGGTGGAGGGATTTGGGCCTGCCCTGTTCTCCCTCTTTCTTTTTCCTTCCCTCCATGTTCTTGGTGATGTTGGCACTCACAGACTGGTTTAGAGTAGAAAAGCACCATTTAATATAGGTAATAGGTATTGGGGAAAAACTGTACCCATGTAACACGTAATGTACCATATAAAAGATAGAAAAGCACCATTTAATATAGGTAATAGGCATTGGGGAAAAACTGTACCCATGTAACACGTAATGTACCATATAAAAGATAGAAAAGCACCATTTAATATAGGTAATGGGCATTGGGGAAAAACTGTACCCATGTAACACGTAATGTACCATATAAAAGACAGCAGCAGCCCTGGGCAGAGGGGGAGAGAAGAAGCAGTCGGGAGTCAGAGAGGATGTCAGGGTGTGTGTGTGCCTCTGCCTGAGCTGTGAGCAAACCACAGCAGCCCCAGAAGAAAATCTTTTAGATAACTTGCAATAAACTGCCTTGAGACCGAACAACAGAGACTGCTGAGCCTTTCTTTGGAAGCTCGGGTTGAAGGAGAAGTTTTTCTACCACATGGAGCCACCCCCGACCTAGGGTGGTCTTTGACACTCCTCTCCCTGAGTCCTGGCTCTAAACCAGTGATCTCCTTAACCTGGGCCCCTTTATCTGCTCACAGATGAGGCTTGGTCAGAAGTTAAACTCTTCTCTTCCAGCTGGCTCACTGTGGTTTATCCCCTTTCATTGTCCAGAGAAGATGTCCCAGGCAGTGCAGTGTCACAGAGCAGCCCTTTGCTACCAGAGAGGCTGTGGGCTTAGTTGTTTTCAGTACACTGCATTTTCTTACTTTTCCACCATGAGTTCAGTGACCGGCTGGTGATTGTCACTCCTTTCCTGGAGAAGTTTCTTTCCCTTGCTAGCAGTTGCAGGATGCTGGCTGTGGAAACAGGACTGTCTTCCACTCTTGGAAAAGTTACCTCAGGCTGGGAGGGTGAGAGGGGCGTTTGTGAGTGCTGTCCCTCTGCATTCAGAGTAGTAAATGTTTTCCCTTGGACTTAAAATGAAGCTGGTGAAATATAAATCCAGTTTAATGTCATCTGATGGAGCAGGATCTGTATTTCTCTGGGATATCTGCCAGTGCATCTTGTTGCCACACCTGAGGGCTTCTAGGTTTCATCTCAGCAAAGCATTCATCAAATTCACCAATTCTTTTCATGCAGGATCAAGTATCTGCAGATGTGGCTGAGCAGTGGCTGCAGGTCCTCTCTGCAGCCCACAGGAAAGAGGCTTCTTGACCTCACCTGTGGGGTGGGAGTTAAGAAATACAAATACATTTTCAAGTAATCTGGAAATACCTCTGTTAAATTATGCATTGTTTGCTAGTTATTTTCCTGCATGAGTCAGGCTCAAATCAAGGGCAGCTGCAGTTGGAGGTAATCAAGGGTAACTTTCTGTCAAACCTTGCTGGCACTGCTGCAGCACGTGCAGCCAGCAATCAGCCTGTTCTCCTAAACCCCAGTATTGTCACTCTGTCAGGGACAAACACATCACTGGAAGCACTCACTGCAGCTTTTCCTTTATAGGAAAGGCAAACAACTGCTCTGATGTGTGAGACCTTTGTACAGGTGCCCATACAAAAGTTCACAGCAGCTTATCTATTTAATGAGATGACATCCCCCAGCAAAATAATGCAGAGTGCTGCAGAGGCTGTGTGTGCAAAAGGTCTCTGTGGTCATTTGGCCAGTGAAAATTTATGTGCTTGGCATATATTTAGTGTCATCTGTCTTCAGATAAGTCGGGACATCAGTAAGATAAGATGCATGCAGGAACATTGTCTTCCTCCATTCTCCAAAGATCTTAAGAGGTTTTTAAGGTCTGTTTGACTTTGCTTAGTATAATGTTGTAATGAGAAGTGACTTTTTCTACCTCCACAGCACCAGGAAACTTGTGTCCCTTCTGGTGGGCAGGGGTCTAAATCAGAAAGTTCATCTGGAGGCTCAGCCTTGGCTTCATGCAGCCCTGCTCTGGTGCTGGTGCCACTCACAGGTAAGAACCAACTGCAGGAGAGCAGAACTGTCCAGGTAAGGCTTTCATAATTTTGTTCTGCACAATCCAGGGCCTGCACAACCATTTCTGATGTCCCTGGGGAGAATCAGCCTCCTGCTGTGCTCCTGCAGCACAGAGCTGCTCTGCTGAACACTGCACATGGTCAGTGTGGGAAGCCCAGAATGGGACCCTGTGCTCTGGCCTAAAAGAGGATTTATCAATGCATTTCTATGCATTAAAGTATTAATGCATCTCGACTTCTCCTGCTCAAGAAGTATGGTCTGATATGGCAGTATAAGAGCAGAGGTGAAAGGAAAACTCAGACCCCATGAGGGAAGGAATTTGTACATTGACAAAGCAAAGAAAATCTCAAAAATACAAATGTTTCATCTTGTTTATTGCTTCACTGATTGCTAAACTATGGAAAAAAAAATTCCTGATCATCTTCTTAGAGGTCACTCCAGTTTCCCCAGTTAACCTTTAGATGGCCTAAAATGCTAACATTTTCAATTTAATCCATGAAATAAATGCAAAGTGAAAATATTAAATTAATGGGAAAAAAAGAGTTTAAAGCTAATGGTGGGTAACTTCTATGTAAGCTCATCTTCTGAATGATCCCTTTATCCTGGACCTCCTTACATTTTTTAAACTCACAGCCTAAAGCATATTTTCTTTTCCCAGCACTGCTAGAATTCAAGCTGCATCTTTGACTGGTTTAATGGAGCCACAAGGCATTACATTAGACAGCTTTTTCCTAGTTCACAGGGGTCATATTGACATGTAACTCGTGGCATTTCCTTGTTTCCAAGATAAGATAAAACAAAAAGGAAGTGTTCAGTTCCAGGTGAGTGGGAGAGGGCACAAGAAATGGGAAGAAGATAAGAGTGTTTGATGCAGGTGGGAATTTATCATGCAGGGTCTTTTTCCTCTCAGGTTGCAGTTGCAGAGGAGGCTGCCTGCTCACAGCACCCCAGTCCTGCCTGAGGAATGCAAGCAAATAAAGGAATGATCCAGCAGGGGAATGAACTGTTGATCAGTCACTGTCTCCTTTCAAATCTCATAAGGCTGCAGCGGGTTTTACTCGAGATGGCTCAATGCTGGGATAACTCCTGGGCTCCTCTCATGGCAGAATAGCAAAATAAATGCAAGTAGAAGCTTTTAGTGGGTGGTTTTCAATCCTGTCCTCCCAGCAGAGCCCAATGAATTCCACAGCTGTGAAAAACTGGATTGGATTTTATGAACGAAATGCAACTTCTTTTCAGCAAAGAGATTTATAAATTTTCAAATCTTCTCAGTGAAGAATTTTCTGTTCTCTTCTACACCAGTGCAACCTTGACTGGCAGTGATGGCAGTGCAGTGTTTGCTGCTGTCTGTGGGAATCCAGGACTTCCCTCTGGCTGCCCTGGAAGGTGTGGGACCCTGGCAGGGATCAGGAACCCCCCTGGACAGAGCCCCCAGAGACACTGTCTGTGATCTCTGTCCACGGAAAAGAGTTTTCAATCTTACAGGATGAATTACAAGCTCTCAGTGTTTGATATCAGTAATAATTAAGTGTGGCACGGGTGCAAAAGTAGAATTTTAGGACTCTAGATTAGGGGTCCAAAGGGGACAAGATGGAGGAATTGGGTGTGTCTTGTCCTTTTTCTCCTTCTTCATGCCCTCCATGTTTCACTGTGGTGTTGGCATTTTTCTGTTGGTTCAGGCTGGGGACACACTGTCCAACGTAGGTGACAGATATTGGCACGTTATTGTAAATCCAGCACAGGTAGTTTGTGGTATTTAATGTTTGTACCATCCCACTGAGGGCAGAGCCCCACACGCTGCCCTGCAGGACAGAGCTGCGGCAGGGCAGCAGAACATGTTAGAGATAAACAGAATAAACAACCTTGAAACCAGCACAGACGAATTATGGCTTCTGCTTTGGCAGCAGGGCTGAAAGACAGAGACTTTCTACAATCTTGGGATCATCAATACCACAGATTCCAACAGCTGTCCTTGCTGAGTGCAGCTGATCAATAGCACAAGGCTACCAGATTCCCTGGTTCCATATTGCCCTTCCCACTGGGAACATCTGCTCTGAGCCTTTTGTGCAGCTCTTGTAGATGTGAAGATGTTCTCTCAGTCTTTTTCTTAGGATTTTCATAGCATTTCGTGGACACCAGGAGGGATTTCTTCACAGAAAGGGCTGTAAAACTTTGGGAGGGGCAACCCAGGGAAGTTTGGGGTCCCAATCCCTGGAGGTGCCCAAGGAGCAGCTGGATGTGCTGCTGGGTTGGGTGACAAAGGGGGTGACTGCTCACAGGTTGAGCTTGATGATCTTGAAGGTCTTTGCCAACCCAAATTATTCTGTTATTTTGTGGTTTTTTGCCAACTTGTGGCTGTAAGGGACAAACTGAAGTTCATGAGCAATAGCATTGCACATAGATTGTTCTAATAGTGGGGTTTTTGTCCAGTTATCTTGAATATGAGCATTATTTTTTCTTCCAGACTTGGGGCCCACTCTTCAGTGGGTGCCATGGATTTGAAAGGCAGTGGGACAATTGTGGGCATCAGACTTAACTTCCTGAATGGCCTGAGCAGTGCACTCCCCTGTCAACTGCTGCTGCAAGGTCACTGTGTCAGTAGAATATTATCTTTAAAAATGCCTTTACTCATTCACATGCCTTTTCTCTTGACCCTTGGATCCTCTGGGATCATTTTTGTATGGTAAATGTCAGATTCCAGGAGCAGTAGCACCAGTTCTGGATGTGAAGGTAAAGCTCCTGCTGTTCTGTAGGTTCTGCTGCTTGTGTGTCCCAGGCTCACACTGACCCCTTGCTCCTTTATTGTGCAGGGCACTAATTTTCATCCACAACCCCACAGGTTTTTTTCCAAAGCTCCCAGTCCCCCAGACAGATTCCTCAGCCTGCTTTTGTGGCCTGCATTTGTAATTTCCAGGTTTGTGATTTTACATTTAGCTCTACTGAGATGTGGATTTGCTCATATTTGTGCATAATTTACCAAACCATCCAACTCACCTTATATTGCTGGTCCAGCCTTTTTAGTTACCATTCCCCCACTCTCTGTTCTTCACCAGTGATGTTTTTATGTTTGCTTTTTTCCCTGAGTCATTGATAGAAATATGAAGCAGCAGAGAACAGACCTTTAGGGACTGCACTTGAACCTGCTGCTAAACATGATTTCTATTTAGCTGCATGTGGAAATGCATTATTTAACCACATTTAATCCACACAGTGACACAATTTTAGTGTTTGTCTGGTTTATTAATCAAGATGTCACCAATAAACATCACAGACATACAAACACTTGTCATCAACAGCTGGCCATAGGACTGTTGGTTCTGAGTTGGTCTGACAGTATAAGTTGTAGACAAACCTTTGCTGCTCAGCTTTGGGCTGATGCCTTCCTTGTTCTTCTGTCTGTCTTTAGCTGGGGATGTGTTGTTTGATTCTTCTGGGAGTGTTTCCTACTTGTTTTTTAAGACACATCCTGATTTCATATTTCCAGATGTAGCTAATGAAACTCTAAAAATAATATTATTGCAACCAAAAACAAAAATCCATTTTCTTTACTGATGGATTATTTTTAAATAGGTAAAACAGCTCAAATGAAGATTATACAAATAAACAATGTGTGGTTTGGGGCTTGTTTGAGAGCTAATCATGATGCAAAGCAAGACGATAGTACTACTTTATGATATGCTAACAGTAATGTTAAAATGTGTTAATGACTATGGGCAAACCACTTGCATTAGTGTAATGCAGCACAATCATTTCTGTGATGTTAGGTTGTCTCTAAGTAGGTGTCTGGAGCAGCCTTTGTTCAAGAAAGCAGAAATCTGTGAGGAATAATACCATGTGTATACTGCCAGAATAGAATGAGCAGTAAATTACCTTCAAAATCTGATGGGAGAAGTTTCTCCTCAAGAATTACATCTCGGGGCAGCTCTGTCTCATCAGTGTGCTCAAATAAACGAGGGGAATAGCCCCAATGTGGCCTGCTTCCAAATTTTTCATCATCCAATTAATATTTTACTAAACCCTCATATTTAGGCAAAAAAAGGTGCTTTGGTAAAAGCATAGTGAGTTGTTTTGCCATGTAGAGCTTCAGTAGCTGCAGATGCAGATGAGCATTGCCAGTAACTCCTCAACAGAAAATGCAATCTATCACCTGTATACTCAATTCTGCAAGCTGGAAAACTGGATAAATGATGCAAATAAAAAACCTGCCCTATCTGTTCCATGGGAATTGTGAGCAAAGTATTTATATCTAACATTTATAAATAAAAATCCATATATAACATATAAAAATATATGTTTATATATAATTATAATAATTATAATTATAATTTATATATAATATAAATATAGTATAATAATAATATTATAATTATACTAGGATATATAACATAAGAATATATAGTATAGATATAATATTTACATATAATATATACTTTATATAGAATCAATTTTTATAATTTTATAGATACAATTTTTATATGTATTAAAAATATAAATATATATAATACAAACAAACTATATATATATATATATATATATTTATAGAAAAATGAAGAACTTACTGAAAACAGTTTTTATAATGGATGTTGAGCCAAGTCAAATATTCACTTCTGGAAAGGCAGTGCTGATTTTTTCCCCTTGGAGTGGATGGTGGCCCTGTGGTGGCACACGAGGTGCCCTTGGCTCTGAGCAGGAAGGGTTAAGCTTTTTGGGAAGTGCATTGTTTGGAGGCTCCCAGTGGGTGGAGGTGCAGCAGCCACAGAGTCACCTCATCAGATGTGACTGACACTATTGGACTTGACAAGTCACCCAGGGAAATGCAGCAGGACAAAACCACATTTTCCAGAAAATCTCTGCTTGAGATGGCTGCGTTTGCCCAGTTTTGTTTTCCACCTTGTGCTGGACAGTGGGCAGGGGGAGGGAGAGCACATGGAAAGCTTTCCTGATGTAGAAAAACACAAGTGCTGTGGTGTGGGCACAATGGAACTCGGGCAGAGTGGGTTTTGCAGCCTTTCCACCCTTGGGAAGATGATTTCTGTGTGGGTGTGAGGAGCTGAGGGCACATCAAGGAATGTTTTTGTGATGTAACAACAAACACACATCGCACGCAGGAGGGCTTCAGACAGGAGCCACAAAAGAAATCACACACCTGTGTAACTTTATCATACATGCTGGTGATTTCTCCTCTTTGATAGTACAGTTCTGGCCAAAAAAAAACATGACAAATACCAACCCTTGGGTTTTGTACACCTAAAGAGAAAGGCTCCTCTTACATCAGAGCTGCTCTCTTTACTTCTGGCTCAGTGCCGTGCTCAGGACATGAGACCCAACATTTTCACAGGCATTCCAAAGTTATTCTCAGGATGAACCCCAGCCTTCCTCCACTGCTGCTTTGCCTGAACATCCACACACAAGGATTGCAGCAGAAAAACCCTTCTAAATCCTGATACACCTGCTTGGAGTAGGGATGTGTTTCACTTTCCTTGGAGTGCTCTATAATTAGAAATATCCAATAAGTTTA